GGGTCGTAAAAAGCAACATCTAAACACAATGGTGATCATCTCATCCATTTTATTACAATGACGATGATGCCTCAGTCCTTAGAATGCCAAAGACTTTATGGTCAATGTGTAAACCTTTCACAAAGAGAGAAATAATAATGATCAAAGTATATATATAGAGGAAGACTCGCTCACTCGGGAAAAAGGGAATAAAATGTAGAAAACAAAAGAATAATCGGAAACCTAATTCAAAAACCTTTCCATGTTTGTAAAGAATCATCATCTATAACCCAATTCTTCTGCAAGTCCATGACTCTGTGCTTTCTCGTATAACTTTTGTCTATCCCATGTTTGTATTCGTTTGGAAGCTTTGTACTATGCGTTACAACTCTCTAGCTCTCGCTCTTCTTACCCAAACGGGTTTCCCCCTGACGGGAATGAAGGTGGATTCAAAGGAATCGCAGCAGCAAATGAGCTTCCGAAATTATGAAATGTTTGTTGAGCGTCATATGATGCGCCAATGTTGCCAATTGGGCTTACATTGCTGCAAAACAAGCAGCGATGACTTTAGAAACAATACTATGATAAAATACTACCAAGTACCATTGAGAGACCAAACTATATGTGATGAATGGATGTTATCTACATTTTGAGGAAGCTTTATGTATGGAGTGATGTAAATCACGTTTAAAGCAAGCGCAACAATGGATTAACTGAATCAAAAGGTCATACCTAGGTGGCATGCTTCCTGGTATTTGAGGAGATATGTACACTGAAAATTGGAGCAAATTGTTCATCAAACATTTCATAATTCAATAGCAGAGAATAACCCAGTAAACTAAAAATGAAAATGAGAATAGGCATGCTTTACTTGGTGGCACTGCAGATGGATGGCCTGAGACTTGAGATGGTATACTGAAATGATTGTGTACTCCTTGTGAAGGCATCATGCCCAAAGGAGGTACAGCGGTTTGCGGAGACTCCATGGGAGGGAACAGAGTTTCCTGTACAGTTTACACATCACTAAACACGTTATCACCAATCGATTATTCTATGAATACTTTGATAAGACAAGTTGCTCAGATGCAAGCGCCAACCGAGTATAGGGAAAGGGTTTAACCAAATAACTCATAACCTAATATTTCAATAAGTGCTCAAAATAAATATTCGATCAACCGCCAATAAGCAAAACATGCTTGCTTTCACCCAAAATAAAATCTATTCTGGATAAGTCAAACGAGCTTAAGGACATACTGTTTGTGTCTGTGATGACTGCTCGTTGCTGAAGTCAAAAGGGTTCATTGACTTGGCTGGCTGCGATACATTCTGGAAAGGCAGTTGCAAGAAAGAAATGATTAGTTATAAGAAAGTAACAGGCTGCTAGGTCATTGACGCTCAAATTCATTATGGATTGAAGAATTTTTCAGAGAAACTGTACCATGGTGTTATTATACTGCTGCATGCCAAAGTGCATACCATTAGGTGGTGGACCAGCTTGCCACCCAGGCACTGGTGCATGGTATGATGGGTAGGTTATGGCGAATAAATCCTGCAGAAAAGTTCGCATGTCATCTACAATCCCACATGTGTGAAGATATAGAACAAGGACAGGTCAAATTGTTACCGCGGGTAATTCTGTTCTTCCGGAAGGTTTAACTTCAGAAGACAGCAGGCCACCAGAAGTACCCTCCGAATGGACTCCTTGAAGAGGTTGCAACGACCCTGGTGTAATCACTGAACTTTGTCCATTAGAAGCAAGCGGTGTGTTCCACAGCTGTAACAAAAAATCCGAGAAGCATAACTAAAATAGTATTTAGGCAGCCAAAATTTTATGCAAATCTTAAAGAAACGATGCAGTGACGTGCCTACCTGTTCACTTGAATGTCCATTCTGAGGTGGTGCAAAGTTTTGTGATGCGGAATGCCCAAGATTCACAGGTAACAATGAAGGAGACTGCTGATGCACACTAGTTATATCCAGTGAGTCAACAGGTCCACTAAATAGTGTAGAAGTCTGAACTGGCACAGAAGAGGTCACTGCCAACTGCGACAGAAGCGAATCCAATGTGTTTCTATTGGGTGGTGATTGAGATACATTCACACTAGGAGCACTGGGCGCAGCATCGAAAAATGCCCAGTTATTATTATTTTCACTTGCAGGCTGTGCAAGAGGCTGAGGTGTGGTCAATTGCGGTGCTTGTAGTGCAACAGATGGAGCAGGGGGTTCGGGATCAGCGTCAAAATCAATCAGGCTTAAAGCAGTTTCCAGCTTCACTTCTGGTGGATTCTCATTTGTGGAGATTAAACTACTCAATGTTGCAGCTGGCTGAAATTAGACAAAGAGACAGGATCAAACATTAATTTTCCTGCCTAAGAATTACCAACGAATGCATGTGCTGAAACCACTTTATCTAGGTAAATACGAGTATGGATCAAGCAGAGCATCAGTGGTTCTTATTTTCTTTTCAAGCTCTGACAATGATGAAGCCAAACCTTTGGATGTGCTGAAGCATCGGTATTTCTAGCGACATGGGGCTTTGGAGGCTCTCCCACACGAAGAGGAATAACATTGTCACCCAAAATTTCCCTAACAGGTCGAACTACAGGAGGGCTAGCTGAACCCAAGTCTTTTACTTGCTCAGGTGACTGGGACCCCTCTTCTGGTTTTTTTCTACCCCCAAATCTATCCTCTCTGCGCCAATCATTCAATATCTCAGGTCGAGAAGGGCTCTTTTTGTTATCACCAACTTTCCTGCTACCTGGCTCGAACCCTGGACTTCTCCCACCAGGACTTGATCTGTCGCTGTAACGACGGTCATATACATCTTCATATGGTGGACTTCGAGACCCAGTAGAACTTCGTGTCTCACTATAATCATTTTTATCGCCCTGCAGAAAATGAAATACCAAGGAATCATGACACAGCAGATACAATGAAACAGTAAGAATAAAATTATGATGGTATGCTTGTTACATTTCTAAATCTCTTTTATCATTCAGGGTTTTCTAAAGGAAATTAGTTAAGGAAGACGCGCTTCTTACCATCTGTCCTCTTGGAGGCTTGTCATCATTCTTCTCATTTGTGTACCTTTTATTTACATAAACATGTCTGATAAAGTCCCTTAACTGCTCTACATTACTGACAGAAAAGATAACAATCAATCATTTGTAAGACATCCATCTCTACAACAAGAAGAGAGCGTTTTGAAAATTACCTGCCATCAGGCACTGACTGCCGCTGTTGATCCAATCCTTTAAAATAAATTTCCTTAGCACGCTGTTACGGAAGAATAAAAGTAAGAGCAGATGAGAATGATTTAAATCGAAACCAGTTATAAGAAACTAAATCACAAATGCGAAGAAAATTGGATTGCTTATACCTTATTTCCACCTTCTTGTAGAGCAGTGACTTCTTGTGAGGTAAATTTTGCCATTGATATCGATTTAACGCGGTGAGTATACTCACGGCTGAAACAAATTTTGACACAGATTAAAACAGCAACACTCTCATGAATAGTATACACAAGAATATGGTATCTAGAACTTACTGTATTCCACTGCAGTTGGTACAAACAAAAGTCGAGAAAGTAGTGCAAACATATTGTGGTCCCTAATAAACCGGAAAAGAAGGATATGAAGAAACATAAAAGTTTAGTGACCGCAATCCATTAAATTAAATTTCTTTGGATTATGAAGAACAAGAGTTGAAGAAGAAGACAACTTACACGGCTGTTACAGTTTATACACCTCTTGTTATCAGAAAGTTTGAGAAGACTCCTAATAACTTTCTCGTTTCTCTCATCTTCTTTCAATCGACCAGCCATAATCGATTCCAAACGCCAAGCTAGAAACTGCACAGTTGAAATACTGACTAAGAATTTTGCATATTTTGGCTCTGAAACTCTAATTAAGAAGCTCAGGGTCAGATTCTTTGAATCAACAATGCCTAAATCGAGTGTTCCGGATCAAAGAAATTACAGATTCATTCGCAGAAAGTAAAGCATAAACACGAGAGATTTGACATGAGATTCTACTTGAGTTACTCGACCCACCCCAGATCAAACAACGGATCATAGCATAGACTCGTGATCGATCACATCTAACAGATACAGATCTAGACAATGTAGACAGATTCAGTTCGGAAACGTAGGGATTATACGGTTGCACGAACCTGAGACGAATCTCGTGAGGGATTGTTGCTTCAACGACGATCCAAGAGGT